CCTAGAATTTTTTTTTAATGTGTGATCAAATAAATCTAACACTTGTGATTTTCAAAAATTTCTTTAATGTATGTATATCCAAGTAGTTATTTTTTTATAATATATTCCAGATGGATATATTCATTATTTTCCTTATTTCAATATTCTGATCAATAAAACAAAGTCCTAAGCACTTCGCTCAAGCTACACTACAGAGTAAAATAAATTGTTGTATATATAACGGGATAGTCACGAAGACAAAGTGTGATTTTGATTTTTGACAGCCGTGGACAATTGCCAGATACAGCCTCGCACTACGTCTCCACCAGGCGTGGACAATTGCCAGATGCAGCCTCGCAATGCGTCTCCACCAGGCGTTGGCAATTGCCAGAAGCAGCCTCGCACTGCGTCTCCACCAGACGTTGACAAGTGCCAGATGCATCCTCGCACTGCGTCTCCACCAGGCGTTGACAAGTGCCAGATGCAGCCTCGCAATGCGTCTCCACCAGACGTTGACAAGTGCCAGATGCAGCCTCGCACTGCGTCTCCACCAGGCGTTGACAAGTGCCAGATGCAGCCTCGCACTGCGTCTCCACCAGACGTTGACAAGGGCCAGATGCAGCCTCGCACTGCGTCTCCACCAGGCATTGACAAGTGCCAAGTGCAGCCTCGCACTGCAACTCCACCAGACGTTGACAAGTGCCAGATGCAGCCTCGCACTGCATCTCCACCTACTAAAAAGATATACATTCGCTTATTTTCCTGTTTTGCTTAAATTCTGCTTACAAATTATTCTATATTGAATCATTTGGGGGGGGGGTGGATTTTTTTATTATTTGTCCATAAGCAGGTATTACCATTCGGAAAAGTCGTCCTCAAGTATTTATTTACACGTAGCCGTAGACTTATAGTTGGCCAGGATGCTTTGGACACCAGTTGACCTTGTTTAGTGAAGGCTCAGGCACAACCAGGTCGTCCAATCTGGTGGACGACCAGATACTGACTCACTAACGACAGTTGTCTGCCCCTTCATGCCTCTAACCTGCCTGCCGTCCTACCGGCAGAATGGTGAGGAGTTTTCAGTTTATATATATATATATATATATATATATATATATATATATATATATATATATATATATATATATATATATTTTATATATATATATATGCAAACAAGCCTGAATGGTCCCCAGGACTATATGGAACTGGGGTGTGAGTTTTCAGTTATAAATATATATATATATATATATATATATATATATATATATATATATATATATATATATATATATATATATATATATATATATATATTATATATATATATATATATATATATAACTGAAAACTCACACCCCAGAAGTGACTCGAACCCATACTCCCAGAAGCCACGCAACTGGTATGTACAAGACGCCTTAATCCACTTGACCATCACGACCGGACAAAATGAGGTGATAGCCGAGGCTATATGAACCACCCCACCGCCGGCACTCGGATAGTTATCTTGGGCATAGCATTTTACCAAATCACCTCATTCTTTGGGGCACACGTGAGGAACACAAATGCGAACAAGCCTGAATGGTCCCCAGGACATATGCAACTGAAAACTCACACCCCAGAAGTGACTCGAACCCATACTCCCAGAGGTCAAGTGGATTAAGGCGTCTTGTACATACCAGTTGCGTGGCTTCTGGGAGTATGGGTTCGAGTCACTTCTGGGGTGTGAGTTTTCAGTTGCATATGTCCTGGGGACCATTCAGGCTTGTTCGCATATATATATATATATATATATATTGGTAGCAGTCTTTCTTGTAAACATATATTATTAAATATGACCGAAAAAGTAAGGTTAATAATTCTAACACGAATTTTCTCAATATTTCTTATGTTTCTTTTCACTGTCGATGGTAATTGAAAAATCAATTCTCCATAATTCATTTTTATTTCTAGCTCATAAAACAGAGGAAAGGGTCCTGAAAGATATTGTTGATAGGAACGTTATCCCTACAGACAAAAATCAGAAGATACAATTGCCGATTTACTATAAAACCAAAAAAATGGCCAACCTACTCATGAGAAACTCTCCAGACACAAAGCAGAATGCTTTAAAAGAGACCAACGTCGTCTATGCCTTCAAATGCCCACTTGGGGACTGTAAGCCTCAAAGAACTCAGTATATAGGCAAGACAACAACATCTCTTTCCAGGCGATTAACGATGCATAAGCAACAGGGCTTCATTAAGGAACATATAATCTCTTCCAACAACCAGACCATCACCAGAGAAATTTTAACAAACAACACAGAACTCGTCGATAGATACAGCGATAGCAGGCGGCTTGACATCTGCGAGGCACTACACATTAAGAAGTCAACACCAGCAATCAACAGCTAATTAATGCACAAATATATTCTACCCACTTCAAGACTCCGCACCAATATAGAAGCATCAAGAAATATGGGCCAATAGGCCCTTTACAGTTACTTCCATTCTTCCCTTTAATTTACCCAATATATACCCATTGTTTCGTGTTCTATCTTGTGTTGAAAGTTTTGTTCACCTTATCCAAAACTGTTGTAACATATCACCTTACCTAAATGCAGGTATATAAGATGAAAGCTGTTTAAATTATAGCATAGTAAAACTCAGTTTAGTGTTTGCAGGTTATAGTTGTGTGTGTGTAAACTAAAGTCTTTGAAAGTGTAATAAGTTATTACACTTTCAATTATTGAAAATTTGATTTTTCAATTACCATCGACAGTGAAAAGAAACATAAGAAATATTGAGAAATTTCGTGTTAAAATTATTAATCTTACTTTTTCGGTCATATTTAATAATATATATATATATATATATATACATACATATATATATATATATATATATATATATATATATATATATATATATATATATATATATATATATATATATATATATATATTATTAAATATGACCGAAAAAGTAAGATTAATAATTCTAACACGAATTTTCTCAATCTTTCGTACATTATGCTTCACTGTTGGAGGTAAATCAAAAATCACTTCTCCAAAATTCATTTTTATTTCTAGTCTGACGCGACACGGGCGCGTTTCGTAAAACTTATTACATTTTCAAAGACTTCACAAATACACAACTGATTAGAACTTGCGTTTCCCTGATTTTATATCTACATTTGAGTGAGGTGGGAAGGGTGATGTGGCATTACATTTGAGTGAGGTGGGAAGGATGATGTGGCATTAACACAAGACAGAACACTAGAGGATATTAATAGGGTATTAAAAGTATCAACACAAGACAGAACAGAAACAATGGGTATTGAATAGAAGTGTTTGTAGAAAGCCTATTGGTCCATATTTCTTGATGCTTCCATATTGGAGCGGAGTCTTGAGGTGGGTAGAATATAGTTGTGCAATAATTGGCTGTTGATTGCTGGTGTTGACTTCTTGATGTGTAGTGCCTCGCAAACGTCAAGCCGCCTGCTATCGCTGTATCTATCGATGATTTCTGTGTTGTTTACTAGGATTTCTCTGGCGATGGTTTGGTTATGGGAAGAGATTATATGTTCCTTAATGGAGCCCTGTTGTTTATGCATCGTTAAACGCCTAGAAAGAGATGTTGTTGTCTTGCCTATATACTGGGTTTTTTGGAGCTTACAGTCCCCAAGTGGGCATTTGAAGGCATAGACGACGTTAGTCTCTTTTAAAGCGTTCTGTTTCGTGTCTGGAGAGTTTCTCATGAGTAGGCTGGCCGTTTTTCTGGTTTTATAGTAAATCGTCAGTTGTATCCTCTGATTTTTGTCTGTAGGGATAACGTTTCTATTAACAATATCTTTCAGGACCCTTTCCTCTGTTTTATGAGCTGTGGAAAAGAAGTTCCTGTAAAATAGTCTAATAGGGGGTATAGGTGTTGTGTTAGTTGTCTCTTCGGAGGTTGCATGGCTTTTCACTTTCCTTCTTATGATGTCTTCGATGAAACCATTGGAGAAGCCGTTATTGACTAGAACCTGCCTTACCCTACAGAGTTCTTCGTCGACTTGCTTCCATTCTGAGCTGTGGCTGAGAGCACGGTCGACGTATGCGTTAACAACACTCCTCTTGTACCTGTCAGGGCAGTCGCTGTTGGCATTTAGGCACATTCCTATGTTTGTTTCCTTTGTGTAGACTGCAGTGTGGAAACCTCCGCCCTTTTCCATTGACTGTTACATCTAGAAAAGGCAGCTTCCCATCCTTTTCCGTCTCGTAAGTGAAACGCAGCACGGAACTCTGCTCAAATGCCTCCTACAGCTCCTGCAGATGTCTGACATCAGGTACCTGTGTAAAAATGTCGTCAACATACCTGCAGTATATGGCCGGTTTCAAGTTCATGTCGACTAAGACTTTTTGCTCGATGGTACCCATGTAGAAGTTTGCAAACAGGACACCTAGGGGAGAACCCATGGCGACCCCATCTACTTGCTTATACATGTGCCCATCCGGGCTCAAGAAGGGTGCCTCTTTAGTACAAGCTTGGAGTAGTTTCCTCAGAATACTTTCTGGCATGTCAAGAGGAGTACAGGCTGGATCACGATACACTCTGTCGGCTATCATTCCGATTGTCTCGTCCACAGGTACGTTGGTAAACAGCGATTCTACGTCCAACGAGGCTCTTATCCCTGTGGCCCGTGCGCCCCGCAGTAAGTCCACAAATTCCTTTGGAGACTATATATATATATATATATATATATATATATATATATATATATATATATATATATATATATATATATATATATATATATATATATATATATATATATATATATATATATATATATATATATATATATATATATATATATATATATATATATATATATATATATATATATATATATATATATATATATATATATATATATATATTGTGACGGGAAAGTGTTGGAGTATTAATGTTCGGCAGTACTCCAAACAGTGTCAATGCCTGGTCACACTTACAAAAAAAAGATAGACTGCTTGCCTGTTGTCTGTGGTAAGTTAGAGGGAGGAACACGTAAAACACAAAGTATGAACAATGAAACTTTAATATATTTACTTTAAACATAAATGAAAATAAAGACAAATCTCGGGTAAATGACTGGTGTAATAAAATGACAAAGATAAATGCAAAAACACAATAGATTAAATATTATAATGTGAAATGGTGCTGAGAATATTGGCTTTAGCTGAAACCTCCCTTAGTATACGAAAGCCAGAGAGCTTAGTATGCCAGAGAGAGATGTCAACTCTAAGAGCACAAAGAATATTCTGAAGTTGATGGCTGCTTCAGGCTCAGACGTCGACTCATGTAGATGGCGCTGAGGTGCAGGGTGCAGGTGCGCGGTCGGCAAGTTAACAATCAGGAGCAGGCAGGCTGGGATGGGTAGTTTGCTGGTTGACGACGAGCCGGCATGTGGGGTGTGTGAAGTTTGGGGGTTCTTGGGTACGTTTTGCCTCCTGGTCAAAACGTTTTGTGCTAAAGTGACGTATCTTGAATGTAGCATCTTATACTGGTTAACTTGACGTAACTTTAAGTAGGGAAGAACAGGCTCAATCTCTCTTGAAAGAGATTATCAACACAACTCTCCCCCAAAGCCTGCGGTTCCGGGTGAAGTTACGTCTTCAGGAGGTAGAGTGGTAGGTGGAGCAGCCTCTACCTCATAGACTCTTGAGAGGGCGTCTGCTATGATGTTGCCAGAACCCTTGATGTAGAAGATCTCCAGGTTGAAATTCTGCAGATATAAAGCCCATCGTAGAAGCCGTAGGTTGTTGAATTGGGCTTGCTGCAGGAAGCGTAGGGGATTGTGGTCCGAGTAGATGCTGGTGGACCGAGTACCTTGCAGGTACGGTTTGAAGTGCTGCAAGTTCAGGACGATGAATAGCAGCTCCTTTTCGATCGTGCTGTAGTTCCTCTGGTGTGGTTTTAATTTGTAGCTGTAGTAGCTAACAGGAAGAAAATCCTCGCCTCGTTGTTGCATCAGGACACCCCGATGCCGGTACCACTGGCGTCGACATGGAGGATGAAAGGCTTCGTGATATCTGGCGAAGCGAGAATAGGATTAGAACAGAGCAGGAATTTGTTCAAAAGCAACGGTTTGCTGAATGGTCCAATGATACCGTTGCTTGGGGCTGGTTAAAGTGATCAATGGTGTCGCCACTGTACTAAAGTTCCTCACAAACCTACGGTAGTAGGAGGCAAGACCAAGGAAGCGCAGGAGCTGCTTCCTGGTGGTTGGCTGTGGGTAATGCTGGATGGCTAGGGTATGTATGTTTAACGGAGCTATGCTGCCACTCCCTATCTCATGGCCAAGATAACGCACTTTACCTTTGGCAAAGGTGGACTTGCCCAAGTTGATGGTGAGGCCGGCTGTCAAGAGCTTGGCAAACAATTGTTGCAGCTGGAGCAGATGTTCGCTCCAGGTGTTGGTTGCCACAACGATATCATCCAAGTAGGCGTAGGTGTTATCCAAGCCCTGGATGACGCGGTTGACAGCTCGCTGAAAGGTGGCCTGGGCATAACATTGTCCAAAGGGAAGGCGTTCGTATCTGTATAGGCCAAAAGGAGTGGTAAAGGCAGATATTTTCTTACCTTGCTCCGTCAAACATACCTGGTAATATCCTTTTAATGAGTCCAGCTTCGATAGGTACCGCACATGACCAATAGCATCAAGGATGTCATCTATTCTAGGTAAGGGGTACGCATCCTTGACAGTCACAAGATTTAATTTCCAATAGTCGGTACATAGTCTCACCTTACCATGCGGTTTTGGCACCAAGATGCAGGGTGAGGCCCAGGGGGACTCACAAGGGGTAGCCAGCCCATGATCCAGGAGGTACTGTACCTCAGCACGCATGACGTCCTTCTTACTCGGGCTGATTCGGTAGAAAGGTTGACGAATCGGCCGTGTGTCGGGGAGTAGTTGGATGTCGTGCTGAACCACATTACACTCCTGTGGATCATCGTTGAACAACTTCTGGTGTTCCTTGAAGATTCTGATGAGAGGTGCACTATTATTGTCCTGAAAATAGTTATGAAGATTAGCAAGGATTTCCGAGTTGGAAAGCACCGACTCAGTGTTAGTGCTTTCGGGAGAAGCAGGGAAGGTTTCACTGTGGAGGTATGGACCTTTAAATGTGGAGACTGATACCAGCACAGTGGGGGGAATACATTGATACCGCTTCAGGAGGTTGACGTGGCACAGCTGGGTCTTCCGCCGCCTATCTGGAGTCTCAAGAACGTGGTTGTGGTTGTTTCTGCACTCCTTGATGCGGTAAGGTCCTGAAAACTTGTTTTGAAATGGAGAACCTGGGATAGGAAAATATGCCAACACGAAGTCTCCTGGTTTAAATTTCCTCAATTTGCTGCTTTGGTCAAAATGAGTCTTCATCCTCTCCTGGGCTTTCAATTGGTTGTCATTGGCAAATTTACGTACTCTCTCTAGAATGTGTTTTAAGTTTTGAAGAAACTGGGGCACATTCTGAGGGTCACTGAAGGTGGCATTACGTAGAGTCCTTGAAAGCTTTGAGAGGAGTACAGCACTTACGTCCGTAGAGCATCTCATAAGGAGATACTCCTACAGACTCATTGGGGAGACTTCTGAAAATGCACATAATGAGATCAAGTTGTTTATCCCAGTCCTTCAAGGTGTCATTGCAGAATTTCTTTAGGAGTGCTTTAATAGTCTGATGACTACGTTCAAGAGAACCCTGTGAAGCAGGATGATAGGGGCTGGACAGTACCTGTGTGATGTTGAACTCCTCCAGTGTCTTCTTGAAGAGATCACTGGTGAAGTTGGTGCCACAGTCGCTTTGAACCTCTTTTGGAAATCCATACTGGGTGAAGATCTTCAATAGGTGTTTCACCACAGTAGCAGCCGTAATGTTCTTTACTGGAACTGCTATGGGGAACCTGGTGGTAGGACAAATGATAGTTAATATATATGCGTTGCCAGAACTGGTCCGGGGTAAAGGACCAACACAGTCTATGATGAGTCTGTGGAAAGGTTCCGCAGGCACCTGGATGGGTTTTAGTGGAGCCTGGGGAATAGAGATGTTAGGTTTACCTGCCAACTGACATGTATGACACTGTTGTACATACTTTTTAACGTCATTTACCATACCTGGCCAGCAGTAATCTTGTCTAATTCCGTGGTAGGTTTTGTTGAAACCATAGTGAGAAAGAGGTCCGTGGGCCAGGTGTAGAATATCGGGCCGTATGCTGGTGGGAATCACTAGTTGTTCGACATTGGCCCAATCGTCATCCTCCTTCAGCTTGCTGGGTCTGTATCTGCGGTAGAGCAACTCATTCTCTAGGAAGAACCCAGGGATACTGTCAGGTTGAGTCTCAGCCTGGAAGAATAATGGTGTTAATGATTGATCTTTCCTCTGTAACTTACGGAACTCCAAGTTGGTAAGATTTGGAGGTAGATTCTGAGGGTCTTGAGGGACAGCGATAGCAGTAGAATCAGCTGGTTTCGGTCGTGCAGCTTGTGCACAGGTGGTCACCAAAACTGGAGGAGAAACTTTATCACTTTCTTGAACCTCTGCTGGAACATATTCACAGATGGGATTATCCATTTCAGAAGTACACACCTGGGGTTTGTCCGTGATGATCAGGTTGGACGGTTGTAGATCTTCTGCCAAGTCGTTGCCCAGGAGAAGTTTCACTCCAGGCATGGGAAAAGGCTTTTCCCTGATGGCGACTTGGACTTCACCAGTCACAAAGGGACAATCCAGGTGGACTTTGGCAAGTGGATATGGAGTGGTAGCAGTGAGGTCAGTGATAAGGACGGTTTCCCCGGTGTAGGTGACGCTAGGCGCAGCCGATTTCATGATAATGGACTGAAGAGCCGTTGTGTCCCTCAAGATCTTCAATTTGAAACGTCCCTCCGAATATGTACCGTTGGTAGAGACAGTTCCAGGGTACAGGTGTTTACTGAAGAGAGAAAGATCATTAACATGAACACCAACATTCATCACAGGCTTACCAGACTTAGGAGGAGTCTGTTTGGGTTTAGTAGATTCATTGCTCTTGTATTGAGCCTTCCCACATCTATCTATGGTATGTCCATAGAGTTTGCAATACTTACAATACAATTGTGAGCTCGCTTGATCTGTACTCACTTTATCGTAACTGTACCAAGACTTCTTACAGGAAGGTGGTTCTGGTGTCAGCCGGTGGATGAGGTTGTAGGTGTCAGCCGACTTCGCACATTTGATGTAGTCGGTTTCTTCTTTATCTGTTAGATATAAACGGACAGAAGGGGGAACACGTCTCACGAATTCCTCAACTAGCATGTGGTTGATGAGTTCTGCAAATGTAGAGACATGTGCTGCTTCCAGCCATTTCAGGAAATATCTTTTCTTGGTATTGGCAAATTCTAGAAAGGTGGTGGTACTTGCCTTAAGATGATCACGGAATTTTCGTCTGTACCTTTTGGTGGAGAGAAGGTCCAACACTGCTTGCTTCAGGGTCTGGAAGTCATTCTCAGACACTAAGGTACTGAGAGTAACTGCAGCTCTACCTGTAAGATGCACTCTGAGAAGGGTAGACCATTGGTCAGCAGGCCAGCTAAGTTGATTAGCTAGGGTCTCAAAGGTGGTAAAAAAGACATCAATCTCTGTCTCAATGAATGGTGGCATTAACTTACTTGCATGGGAGATATTGAAACTTACGGGAAGACTAGCGGTAGCTTGCTGGCGTTGAGTGTGGTGTGTAGTCTCCAACGTGAGTTCTCGTTGACGACATTCTATAACCATATCCGCTTGCTGTTTGTCATGCTCGCGTTGTATCTCCAGGTGGTGCTGTTTTGCTTCAAGCTGTACTCGCTCACGCTCACGGAGTATTGTAGTCTCACGTTCCTTGAGGGCCAACTCTCGTTCTTTTAGGTCCGCCTCTCGTTCTTGTTCTTCTTTCTTGATTGCAGCCTCTCTTTCCATCATTTGGAGAGCTGCTTGCTGTTGCTCCCTCTCAAGTTTTGCAAGTTCTATTTTGAGTTTCATAGTGGCCAAATCATGTTTATCTGCAATAGAATAAGTTTCGTGAGTTTAAGAGTCAATTGTCCCTTCATCTAAGAGGTGATCCATAATTAAGTTAAGCAATTCATTTTTGTTGGCTCCATGGGGAACATCTAGTTGATACTCGTGTGCAAGAGTTTGTAATTCAGTCCTCTTGGCACGACATAAAGTCCCTATTTCACCTGCTGGATCGTTACGGAAAGCTTGGAGACGAAACATGGTGAAAAATAGCAAATAAATGTACAACGAATATAGTTGTGATATGGAAAATGTCAGAAACAGGATAACGTGGCAACTGGTAACTATCCTGTGGAATTTTAATCTTTAACAATTAAAGTTAATTATAGGATGGTAAATGATTAGTCAATCAAGGTCGCAGGAAATCTTGTACCCGGTACTCAGTGTAAGAGAATAAGGGCAAGAAAATCCTACTAAATAAGTGAAACTGAGTTTCTAAAACAAATGAAACATTTAAATGCTCCAAAAGTGAATTAGGTAGTCCAAGAATGTAGGCATACCTTGCCGAGTCTTCATAGGACATAAGCAAGGGTTTCCCACTAAATGAATATGATACTTACAGAATTAGCAACTTTGTGCTCTGTAAAAAGAAAGCTAATTTCCTTCCTAAGTAAATATCATCATCTCTGACCGACGTGTAGGGGTGCGAGTGTCAACTGGTGACGAGAACTGCTGCTGAGGTCCCAACTCAGCAACGTAGTCCGTGCTAGAGGAACTATGGCCCTCTTATCCTCCTTCGGTCGGATTTCAGAAGATAGGGTGCTTTGACCCGAAGACAAACCAAAGTACCAGGGTACCACAATGATGATCTGCCGATAATATGAGAAATATCCTAGGCACAAAAGGTGGTAAACACGAGTAATAACACGGATGGAGAGATGACCAATTAAAAGAATGACTGAGGCCTACAGTCACCACGTAATCCAAAGTTATCCCACACTCACCATATGCTACTCTCGGAATGTGCAATACACACAGCACCATATAAATATAAAAATTAATGATAATATTGAAAAGCAACTTTAGCAAAGCAAAGTACGCTTACCACAAATTGACGTTCTGGTACTAGTACCTGAGTGAAGCTCCGTGGACAGGCCCCCATTAAATGTGACGGGAAAGTGTTGGAGTATTGATGTTCGGCAGTCCTCCAATGGCAGGTGTCAACGCCTGGTCACACTTACAAAAAAGAGATAGACTGCTTGCCTGTTGTCTGTGGTAAGTTAGAGGGAGGAACACGTAAAATACAAAGTATGAACAATGAAACTTTAATATATTTACTTTAAACATAAATGAAAATAAAGATAAATCTCGGGTAAATGACTGGTGTAATAAAATGACAAAGATAAATGCAAAAACACAATAGATTAAATATTATAATGTGAAATGGTGCTTAGAATATTGGCTTTAGCTGAAACCTCCCTTAGTATACGAAAGCCAGAGAGCTTAGTATGCCAGAGAGAGATGTCAACTCTAAGAGCACAAAGAATATTCTGAAGTTGATGGCTGCTTCAGGCTCAGACGTCGACTCATGTAGATGGCACTGAGGTGCAGGGTGCGGGTGCGTGGTCGGCAAGTCACCAATCAGGAGCAGGCAGGCTGGGATGGGTAGTTTGCTGGTTGACGACGAGCCGGCATGGAGGGTGTGTGGAGTTTGGGGGTTCTTGGGTACGTTTTGCCTCCTGGTCAAAACGTTTTGTGCTACCGGTGACGTATCTTGAATGTAGCATCTTATACTTGTTAACTTGACGTAACTTTAAGTAGGGAAGAGCAGGCTCAATCTCTCTTGAAAGAGATTATCGTCACAATATATATATATATATATATATATATATATATATATATATATATATATATATATATATATATATATATATATATATATATATATATATATATATATATATATATATATATATATATATATATATATATATATATATATATATATATATATATATATGACTGAAAACTCAGTCCCCAGAAGTACTCGAACCCATACTAGGAGCAACGCAACTGGTATGTACAGGGATGCCTTAATCCGCTTGACCATCATATATATATATATATATATATATATATATATATATATATAAATTTGAAATTATATATATATATATATATATATATATATATATATATATATATATACCAGTTGCGTTGCTCCTGGCATATATATATATATATATATATATATATATATATATATATATATATATATATATATATATCTGACGGGAAAAAACATCTTTTTTCGAAACACCGTGTTTTTCATGTTAGAGAAATCTTTGAAACCCCTTTACCGATATCTTTTAAATTTTGACACAACGTTGCATTTGAATAGATGCGTGTTTTTACATACAAACTATATACATGTCTTACCTATGATAGGAAAAAACATGCTTTTTTTGATAAACAGCGCCATCTGTTGGACGTAAGAGCAACACACGCTGTAATCTCTGAAAGTTCTTCACTGATTGCTTTGAAATTTTGACACACCGTTCCATTCGAATATGATAATGTTTTTATATACCTTCTATATAGATGCCACGCCTGTGACAGGTAAAAACATTTTTTTTTAACAGCATCATCGGTTGTACGTAATAGCAATACTCGCAATACTAAATATGTTACAATTCCATTTCAATGTTTCTGATTGCTGTGACAAATTAAATTTTCATAGATTTCGATTTATTTTCATTTTTATTTAATTATTTTGTGTGACATTGCATTGGAAATGAGCAGTGTTTTTACCATACCATTCATTTTGTAAGTATGAGTATAGATGCCTCACCTGTGACAGGTAAAAACATGCTTAAAAAAAAAGCCATCTGTTGCGCGAAAGAGAAACACACGCTATACTAAATATGTTACGATTTCATTTCAATGTTTCCGAGTTCATTGATAAATTGAATTTTTATAGATTTTGACTGATTTTCATTTTGATATATTTATTATGTGTGACATTTCGTTGGAATTAAGCTGTGTTTTTTACCATACCGTTCATTTTGGGAGAATAGTTTATTTTTTTTCATTGTTTGAAAACGCTAATGATTACTACATTGTAGTAACATCACATCGGTACTACATCGAGTGAAGTAACGATGTCAACACCATCTAGATTGTGCACCCGATTATATTTTCAGTCACCCGCTGAAAGGCTGCCATCCTATGTTCTCCTTGTGTACTTTCTGTCTTGCTAATGTCTCTTATGTCCACTGAGGTGACACAGAGTGTCTATTGCGCTGTGGAAGGTGGTTCAACTTGGGCAGTCCAGAACTCTTGACTTGTTCCTGTGAGGACAAGTGGACTCTGTCGGTAGGAGACAGTGTGTTGACTGTTTTATTTGTGCAGTGATAATGTGTGTACCGACGTACCCGAAATTTTCCCAAGAAGAGTTTCAAGATGATAGTATTGGCTGTCTACTGAGAAGTGCTGGCAGCGTGAAGTCAGACTTCTGCCAGGGTATTGGTAAAGACCCCTGTAGGTGTTATTTGTGATCCCTGTCAGCGTGTTACTAAAGACCTCTGCCAGTGTGTTTCTGGAGCGCAGACGTGGGGTATATGGGCATTGGGACAATACAGTGTGGGATTAGCCCATGTTGACTAAGGTGAATTCGCCGGTGATAACCATTGGACGTAAATGACGTATTCCTGAAAAAAGTGGACTCACCGGGATTTGAAGAATACTGCAGATATATTGAGTGTCCTGTGCGAAAGTGACACTAGGTACATATGTGTAGTTATACGAAAGAGATCATATTGATGAAGGTGTTATTTAGTCTTGTTTAACCTTTATATTTCACGATATCACCTCTGTTGATTTGGTCAGCTGTATTCTCCTAGTATATTTTATTGGAGTTCTATCTACAGCTGACAAATTTCAATTTGATTTTTTATTCAGCAGGCATTGGCCTCCTCAGGTTAAATACGGGGCCCTGTGAGTAACTGGCCTTCTGTAGAGGTTAACAGGTTTATTCCCTGATATTTAGTTCGGCTAATGATGAAATTGTTGTAGTAGTCTGCACCTACAAGGATTCCTATGTCTGTGAGGTAATTTGACGTAATTTTATCTACCATTTTTAGTCCTCTTTTTTTTCTTAGGAATTTGGCAGTATTCTCCCACACCTTGTACATGTAGGTCCGTTGGAATTGTGTCCACCATGATAGCTGGTAACAAAATAAAGACAAATTTATTTAGCAGTACTCATTATTATTTGTATGAAATTTAGCCCTCCAGTTGGCAATCAGCTATTAGGCACCAGCTGTATATCCACTTTGTGGACCCTCCTTACTACTACTGCTATTCTTCTTTGTGCGTCAGGCAGGTGCTTGCATCTGTTAATCACTGCATTATCCATGAGTTACACTAACCAGATGTTATTGTATCATCAGTAAAGGTTGCGCACTTTTTTTAATTCGTATAAAATCCATTTGTTAACATATTGGAAATTTAACATATGAAATGTTCTCGATGCTGATATTAAATAACGTAAGATTTGTTTAACAGATTTCCCTATATTTCATATGTGGACGAATATTTTCGAGCTCCTGGCCCATTAATAGCCTAATGGAAATAAATCGATTGGTATAAATTGCTAATAATGGTTAGTCTATAAAGTGGTTAATAATAAGTAAATGAGTAAGAGCGTTGCTGTACTGTATTATGCAGCAGCCTGGTCATCGAGACATGTACACGTAAGAGCACGCAAACTGATTGTCCTCGTTGGACCGACTATGTCACGTGTCACGTGTTGTACCAGGTAGTTTGCTGCTAATGTCTCCTTCCCCTTCTATTTCACATGTCAAATAGTCGCATAGTAATAAACCGCAACCAATATATGACGGCTATATCAGAGGCAAGATATTATGGAGAATTAATTTAATTAATTTAAGCGTACCCATTCAGGGTGGCTTGCAACACATTCTAACCACCTGACATAATCTACTAAATATGGCATTAAATGCAAA